GAGTGAGTGAGTGAGTGAGTGAGTGAGTGAGTGAGTGAGTGAGTGAGAGAGAGACACGCTCAGTCAGTAGTCGGAGGGCGGGGCGGAGGTAAAATGTGTCAGGCACAAGCTTCTCCACAGATACAGACAGAGAAGGCTCGGCTGAGCGAAAAAAATACTTCACTGCATCACTATTTTTGTTAAATAGATTTTTGTACCTTAATTGGGTTCCAGATGATTCCAGGATTCCAGTTTATAAACTTGTAGCGGAGTTTGATCGGGATTTTCCATTACGCTGCATTTTTGAAGTTTGCAATCGGGTGCTCTCTGTTTACGCAACGTTAGCTCTGTTAGCGCGGTAATTTAGACAATAGACTGTTGACAGAGTAACGTTAACGTTCGTTTATAAAGGTTAAAATGATGCTTGTGCAGTTGTGTCGAATAGTATGCACTTATGGGAGTTATATGGTACGTCTAAATTACTGTCTTTTGCAGACAGCAAGATATATGCTATAGGCTAGTTAACCTTAGCATAGCTTCCCGTCACTTTTTATTAACTTGAATTCCTCAAATACATTTGGGCACCTGAATAGAAAAAGAGTGAGACTGCTGCTGAGCCATTTCTTGGTCCTCCACCAGTCAAAAAAAAATAATAAAACTTCATGTTCTTTGTGGAAGAATTTTACAGTCAGTGGAGCTGCATATAAAACAAAGTGATACTGTATAATGTGTGCAAAAGTGATATTAGCAGAGGCAGAGATATTAAACATCTGTCAACATCTTCTATGCATAATCATTCATTTTCTTTTCGGCTTAGTCCCTTTATCAATCTGGGGTTGCCACAGTGGAATGAACCACCAATTTATCCAGCATATGTTTTACGCAGTGGCTGCCCTTCCAGCTGCTACCCAGCACTGAGAAACATCCATACACTCTCTTTCACACACATACAATAGGGTCTATTTAGCTCACCCAATTCACCTGTATTGCATGTGTTTGGACTGTGGGGGAAACCGGAGCACCCGGAGGAAACCCACGCCAACATGGGGAGAACCCAGTCAGGGCTCGAACCAGCAACCTTCTTGCTGTGAGGCGACAGTGGTACTCACTGTGCCACTGCGCAACCTTCTATGTAATGTATTATCACATGCACTAAAAGCATCCTCTCCTGATACTGTCTGTGAACCCACCACAAGCATCAATCCCCTCAATCAGCACAGCTATGTTCTGCTAAATCCTCCACAAGCACCAAACCATCAACACAGCCACATTCTGCCCCAGCAAGTCAGTTTCAAACATATAAAAAACAAACAAACTTTGTGTCTGTTTTGTGGCTGGCAGATGACAATAGCAGGGCTGTATCTTTTAGTATTATATAGAATACTTTTGTTCTGCCAGATCTCCCAGGCAGGGGTTTATTTAGATTTATTTAGTTAATTTTAGTTTTTGGAATTCTGTCCATTGGAAAGAAGTTCTTTCAGAAGAAGAACAGTTTTTTGAAATATTATTTGTTTTTATTCTGTCTATTCAGTGTCCTTCAACAAGAACGGTGGTGGTGGGGTTCATAATATTCACAATGGTATTTTATTAGTTGTTGGTTTAACCATGGATGAGATAATGGCTTTTATGTTATTTTCTTTTCAATGACATTTCTTGTCACATGTTCAAAAACAACAACCAATATTGCATGTCTATGATATATATAATGGGTATAATTAAACAATACTTTCACTATAACGTAAATTAGAAGTGTAATAGAAAAAATATATATTTTTGCGCCATTTTGAATTTTACTCGAATACAAATACAAATACAAATACTTTTCCCCCCTCAACAAATACAAATACCGGCTGCTCCGCACATCCCTAGAAAGTACAATTATTAAGCACATTATATAGATACTAATAAGTCAAGAATAGAGTATTTGTAGCTGCAGTTATAAACTGCTTACTAACGTTTATTAATGTAGAGTTAATGCTTAACAGATAATGAATTCACTATTTGCCAATGTTTAATAAATGATTTATAGTGTGTAGTTATTGAAAAGTGTTACCGAATATGGTTAACATATGAGTCTGCTATCTTTCTAATTTTCTTCTTTGCCCATATCTTAAATCCTGCATCTTTCTTTCTTTATTAAATTTTGTACGAATGTTTTAGATGAATCAGGATTTATTAATGAAAATGTTTAGGGGAATTTATGTAAACAACAAAAAATCCACACATATTATAGATCAGGGGTTTTCAAAGTGTGAGGCGCGCCTCCCCTGGGGGGCGCCAGAGCATGTCAGGGGAGGCGCGGGAAAAATATATAAGAAAAATATAATTATTAAGTTTAATTAAGTTTATTGTGGCGCGCGTTCTGATCGGCTGTGTTGTCGCGCGCACGCTCAAGAGGGGTGTTGTCGCGCGCCTACTGAAGGGCGGGACCGAGGGTGTGCCGCGTCGCGGGGGCACTTTTGATCATTTTGGAAGGGCACTTTCTATCCAGGACTAAAAAGGGCATGTGCACTGCACAGGTTGAGCCCTGGTTGAGCCCTATGTGTGCACGTGCCTGCAATGGATCGGTTTCTGAGACCCCCCCGATTCAAAGCCTTCAAGTTCAGGGCTTAAACCCAAAAGACGACGATATGATGATCAGTATTTGAGTTTAGGATTTACGTGGACAGGACCAGCTGATGAACCACGACCTTTATGTGTGGTTTGTCAAGATATTTTGGCTAATGACAGCATGAGACCCGCTAAACTTCGACTGTTTTGACTGGGATGGACTGTTCTTGGATCTGTTCTATTCATATTGAACCATCATCCTAGTTTTAAAAACGTTATATTAAAATACTTGTTATTACTCTGTAAATAATGGCACTTTCATGCAAATGATGATAAAAGTGAGTTAACAGTCTGACATCTGTCTGTGTCTTTATATATACTGTATATGTATATGTATATGTGTGTGTGTGCGTGTGTGTGTGTGTGTGTGCGTGTGCGTGTGCGTGTGTGTGTGTGTGTGTGTGTGTGTGTGTGTGTGTGTATGTGTGTGTGTGTGCGTGCGTGTTTGGGAGGAGGGGGGTGCCAATGGATAAGTTGTGTCAAAAGGGAGGCCCACAGTCTTAGACTTTGAAAAACCCTGTTATAGATCAAATCAATGATCATATAATTCCAGAATCATTATTGTCTATACTGCAATCAGTCTTTATTTTAGATCTGATATGTACTCACATTTGGATTTTAGCTGCCAGTGGGTGAATGTAAATACAGACGATGGACTTGAAAATACAGACGACTAAAGGCTGATTTATACTTCTGCGTCAAACACCGGCGTATGCTACGGCGCTGACGCATAGCCCTTCGCCGTGGCCGTCGCTGTCACTGACGTGCACCTCTCAAAAATTGTAACTACACGTCGCAACAACGCGTAGCGCAAGCTCTGTGATTTTTCGGCTTGGTAGCGCTGACGAGTCTGGGCAGGACCGAGAGCCGAGCGAATGGCGCGAACCCAATGTGCCGATTGTTTACAAGTGTGGAGTCCCGTGAAGGAGCTCCGGATGGAAAGTTTTGTTCTTTGTTTACCTCATAGTTAAAGTTGTTGCACGTCCGCCGGTTCCTGCCTCAAAATGAGCGAGTTTGAGCCACTTGTACATCCCGGAAGTGTTCAGGAAAAGCAAAACAGCAGAGAAGAAACTCGACACTGAGGAACATTTACACCTCACTGCCAACTCGCGTTTCGGAAGTGTTAATGCAGACCGACAGAGACAGCGCGCAGAAGTATAAACGCACAGCCACGTGCGTTGCATGCGCCGGTGGTTACGCCGGTCACTTGACGCAGAAGTATAAACCAGGCTTAACTATTTTATTGAGCAAAAACTCCAAGAACTGGCGAGGAGATCTCCTAGCTTGTCACACTCTGCTCTTTTCTCACACACACACACACACACATACACATTACCCTCGGAGTAGGAGGACACAACACACACACACACACACACATAACCCTCCTCCAGACGACATAGCGCACAAACACACACAGACACACATACACACCATAAACAAAGCAGCACGCGTCGCGTTTTTAACGTGGCTTTGCAAGCGATATGAGAATATAGCGAGTTAACCTGATACAGCACACGCGGTTACAAGTAACAAATCACAACTAAATACATTTGTAAGCTAGAGTCAACAAGGCAACAACTTTAATCACACGTACTACTTACACATGTGAAATGGAGGAAGAAACCGATCCATGTTCTGACATGTCCATCAGTACTCTACTGATCCTTTCTTTAACAAACGGCCGATGAAGTCTTCTTTGTAGCATGTAGTTTCCAGAAGAACTCAAACTGCTCAAGGCTGAGCTATAATGCTGAGGTTTCATCTTTGGGTAGAGACTCAATAATTTCCATCTGCACATTGCCACTTCATTTGACCGGCGTGTTTGTGTGCGTGTGCGTGTGTGTGTGCGCGTGGCTTTTTTTCTGTGTTACCGTACGTTCACACCGAAAGCGGCGAGAGCGTCCAAGGTCGCTCTGGCCGCCCTGGCGACAACGCTGTCTGCCTTCAGCTCCGGCGGCGAGAGCATCAAAACTCGCTACATTGATCTCGTACTTGAAGGAGCCGTTGCAGCATATCAGTTACATTCCTGCATAAAACAGGTTTCTAGCGTGGAAATGTTGCGCACTTCTTATCAAATTCATTTAACAATGGAAGATCAAGTTGCGTGTGGTGTGGCTTTGCTCTATTTATCCAATACGTGTCCATATGTCTGAAATATCCTGAAGCAGCAGTACTGTTTTGTACCGTCACATCGCGTGAGATTCCCGCTTTTTAAAGATAAATTTATATAACATTAATGAACTTCAGTAACTCGTCAGTAACTTATTTAATGTATGTTCCTGTAAGAAAACATTGTAAATAATTGGAAATCCGGCGACCGCAATCATCAAACCCTTGGGAACAACTGTGGTCGGAACCAAAGTTCACAGGTCTGTGTTCTCTGAACTGCTATCAAGCGGTGGACGTCTTTA